ACGTCATGGACGCCGAGGGCGTCAGCATGGAGGTCTTCAAGGACGCTTTCCTCAAGGGCAACATGTTTGCCTCAGGTCTTTCGGTCAACTACGGCCCAAGCAACCTTGTGATCAAGGCCGGTGATGCGCTGGAGCAGGGTGACGGCAGCAAGGCGGTCGAGGCCACCGCCGTCGCTGTGACCACCGAGGAATTTGAGAAGAAGCAGGCCCTCGCCAGCGGCTTGCCCGTCGGTATGCGGTTCAACAGCTTCAAGGTCCTCAACCAGGCATGCGCGCGCCCGTGGCACTTCCAGGAGCGCCTTAAGGCGGACGGCCGCTTCCGCGTCGTCCTTTTCGCCGGCAACATCCTCGACGCCGCGCAGAAGGCCCGCGTCGACAAGTTTGCCGCGGCGCTGGACGCTCCCGAGAACTTCCTGCGCAAGGCGACGCCCGCCGGCGCCCCCATCGACAGCGTCATCGAGGTCCTCACCATCCACTCCGCGAAGCGCACCGAGACGGAGCTGCTCCGCGACTTCCCTGACATCCTGCACCCTCTGGATCCCCACTTCGGCTGGGACTACAACAAGGTCTACGTGGATGACGAGAGCTACCACGAGGGCTTCGGCGATGCGTACAAGAACTACGGCGTCGACAAGCAGAGGGGCTGCGTTGTCGCTGTCCGCCCTGACCAGTACGTTGCGTGGGTTGGTGAGCTGGAGGACTTTGACCAGTTGCAGAAGTACTTTGAGGGATGCTTGGTTCTTGGACAGGGTGCTACCAACGGTGTCAATGGTCACGCCAATGGCACAAACGGCACTGAGCTGCCGGTCCGATGATAGGCTGAGCTAGGCCGCAACGCTGCACGAATTCATGTAATTATTTTGGTATTGAGAATAGAAACGACAAATCTAGATCATGAGTCGAACCACGAGCTCAACACGCCTGGAAACAAGTTGCACTGACCAGTGAAATAGGTCTCGCAGTTGCTCCTGCCCAGTTCGGGCCCGGTGAGCCCGGTCTCCCGCCGATCTCGGGCCTGTGGGTCCCGGAACACCGTCCGAGGCGCCGGAGTAGCCCGGATGACTAAACTCGGATGTCTGCGGATAACCGTTTTCCGCATCCGCAGAGGAGCTCCGCCGCGAGGTAGCCACTCCACGTATCTCGCTGCATCAGTCACCGAACACGAAATCTTCAAGCACACGCGAAGTGAGGAGAATTATCCGAATTATGGGGCAAGTCTACGTCACACGACATAACGCTGCGTCTAAAACTCCGGTCGCGGCTCATGCTGCACCATTCTCATGCGGTCCAACCACTGACGACGGACCCCAGCGCCAGACTGCCGGCCTTTTCTCCGGCGCTCTGCAGCCTGATGCGGATCAGGTTGAGCGCCTCCGCGCCTAGGAACAGCGGCAGCTTCAGACGTTGCGCCTCGTCGACGGCTTCCTGCAGCTCCTGCGCTACTGTCTGCAGCGCGGCTTGGCCCTCTGAAGCAGCCCAGCCCTGGCCTGCGCTGCTGTTCTTGAACGCGTCTAGGATGTGTCTGCCTTCGCTGGAGAGCATCTTGCTTCCGCCGGCTGCGTTGGTGCACAGCTCAAAGACCTGCTCCAGGTCCAAGCCGACGAAATGCGCAAATGCGAGGGCCTCGGCTGCTGCGCAAAGGTGGATTCCACGGAGGAGGTTGACGACGAGCTTCAGCTTGGCCTCTTCCGTCTTCACAGTCGGCTTGACGGGCCCGATCTTCCCCTTGCCCTCAATATACAAGCGCAGCAACGCAGCATCGTCGTCCGGGCCCCATCCTCTTCCCAGCGCCGTGAAATAAGCTTGCTCTGCAGTGCTCGTCATCGGTGTCGGGAATCCAGCTCGCCGGGCTTCTGAGGTGATGATGCTCGTGTCCTTAAGGATGATCGTGACGGCGCTTGCGATGGGCTTGAAGTCGGGGTCGAGGATCCGCGGCAGTCGGTTCTCGTGCATCCAGCTCCATCCTTCCGACTTGACGATATGCTCACCGGTGCTGGGGAGGTCGAGGCCCAGGTGGCTCGCGAAGCCCATCGCCTCGCTTGCAGAGAGAATCTGATTGGCGGCGAGGACCTGGTGGCACATCTTCATGTTGCTTCCTGCCCCGATCCCGCCCTTAACGATGTACAGCTTCTCGGGGTCCGACATGGCCTGGAGGAGATGTAGGCCTCTGCTGATGGACTCTTCTGAGCCGCCTGCCATTATCGAGAGCGTGCCCGCCGCTGCCCTAGCAGCGCCTCCTGATACAGGACTGTCGACGAGGAAGATGTCGCCGCGACCCTTCTCGACCAGCTCCTTCTCCAGACCTTGCACATATCCGCAGGGCACTGTTGAGCATAGTAGAAGGACGGCTTCTTGTGGGAGGGCCTTCACCAACGCGGCATCGCCTTCGAAGATGATGCTCTGTGCTTGCTCTGCTGTTGCAACCATGCAAACGCAGAACTGCTTCCCTGCAACGGCTTCAGCTGGACTGGTCGCCGTGAGACCTCCTGCCTGCTTGAACTTCTCCAGCGTCGGCGCCCACACGTCGAAACCTGTGACCGGGTATCCCTCGCGGATGAGGTTGTTGGCCATTCCGAAGCCCATGGCTCCCAGGCCAATGAAGGCCGTTGAGGGCTTTGTGGATCCCATCGCGAAGTGTGATTTCAGAATATCCGGTGCTCAAACAATGTCTCTGGAGTTGTCTTAGAGATGGAAGAAGGGATCAGACTTGGGTGAGATCAACGACGCAACTTCGTCATGCATGAAAATGAAACAGCCGAAGCGAGAGAAAGAAAGAATCTCATGATGACAAGGCGAAATCGGACAAGACCCTCTCTTTGGTTCGGTAAACAATCCGTCCCTCGGGGTAATATGTCATTCTGCCGAACCGATTGGAGCTCCGAATCCCATCCGTCCCTGCGGCCCCGCGCGGAAAATCGGTTCATTTCCGCCTAAATTCAAGATCCCCCGCAATCCGGCATTACCCCTCGGGACGAAGTCCGCGATTTTGGAATGTCCTCAAATGACCTCATGTTTACTACTCAAATGAGTGTTGTTGAAAGCTCGCTTCGAAGTTAGAGATAGTTTAACTACACAGTCAATTTCCTCGCTATCTGCATTGCACTCTCATAACGACTCACAAACTCATCTTCAGTCTACAGACCATTAACATACCCACAATGCCGCGCCCACCCCTCTCCCAGAACCGCACGATGCGAATCGTCAACGCCGCCCATGACGGCGGCTACGCGATCGCCGGCTTCTGCTGCTACAACCTCGAGGCCGTCGTCGCCTCCGTCAGAGCCGCCGAGGCAACATCATCCCCGGCCGTGGTCCAGCTCTTCCCCTGGGCAATGCAATACGCCGGCAGCGCCCTCGTCCGCGCCGCCGCAGAGCTGTGCCACAGCGCCTCTGTGCCGGTATCGCTGCACCTCGACCACTGCCAAACCCCGGAGCTCGTCCGCCAGGCCGCGGACATCCCCGACGGCTTCGACAGCATCATGGTCGACATGAGCCACTACGAGAAGGAGGAGAACCTCGCGCTGACGCGCGAGCTGGTGGACTACTGCCACGCGCGGGGTATCGCGACGGAGGCGGAGCCCGGGCGGATTGAGGGCGGCGAGGACGGCGTGGCGGAGACGGTGGATCTAGAAGGCGTGCTGACGACGCCGGAGCAGGCGGAGGAGTTTGTGGCGACGGGCATTGAGATGCTTGCGCCTGCGTTTGGGAATGTGCATGGCGAGTATGGGCCTAGAGGGATCAAGTTGGAGTTTGATCGGCTTGAGAATGTTAACAAGGGCGTTGGAGACCGCGTACGGCTGATTCTGCATGGCTGTGACCCCTTTGACGAGGACCTTTTCAACCGTTGCATCGAGAGGGGAGTGGTGAAGATCAACATCAACAAGGGCATCAACAACCACTATGCGCCGGCGCAAGAAAAAGCTCGCGGCCGCCCAATTACTGCTACTATCGAGGCCGGCACAAAGGATATGCAGGCGGCATGTGAGAAGTACATGCACTGGTTCCGTTCTGCAGGCAAGGCCAAGGCGGCATGAGCAGCGGTGGGTGATAGCATCATATAGACAATCAAGATTTTACTCTATATTTTTACATTAGGCGATTTCTCTGGAAACAATCATTTCCTGGTTAGCTCTGCATTGAATGCTGGAAATACGACTTCCTCTCTTTCAAGATACTAGATAGTAGTTGTGCCCTATTCAAGTCGGGCGAGCCACGAGACAGTCTGCTTTTTGAACTTGCCTCCTGACTCTCATAAACCCCAAGCAATATCACTTCCAAGGTTCAATTGTGAGTAATTGATAAAGTTTGCAACCAATCAAACTATTAAGCCGAGAGCCATCTTTCTAAGCGCACTGGCAGCGAACCATCTTTAAAATAATGTTGGCACTAAAGATAGAAAAGTTGCATTCAGCCATGACCAGGGTGGCGGCGTTTTTGTCCACCAACCAGCACACGTCTCAACTACTCCCTTTCTCATAAGCCTTGTATCCTTGGTATGTGTTTGAAGGCATCCCGCATCCCCACAGTACGCAAGGCTTAGATCGGGCATCCCACGAAGGTTTCCGTCAGCTCGTATGATTCTTCTTTGGCCAATCAGGCGCTAATCTCCGTCTGAACGCTGGCGGGAACATTGCTCTGACTTCCGGAGCTACCCACCAGATGAACCCTGAACTGGTTGAGCAGTTGAAAAATTGAAAGCAACTGTTGATCTTGAGTCCACACAGCGTTTGAATTTGAGTCCATGAGGAATTTTCGCTGGGTCGGAGAAACCCGTCTGCAAATTAGCTTGACACGCTTGTCACTTGTGCAACGGAGAAGTCCAGACGATATAGAAAGATTTAAACTCAAAGTTGGTATACGATGCATTCAATGCTAATTGCTCTTTTGGTATCTTGAGATGCTTCAATGTTCCAAATATCGACCAGCTGTCAGCTGTCCCTTTCCCCGTCTCTTGATTGACGCGCAACCACTCATCCCCTATTGGCTTTCTCCAACTGTATCTAGCAAGGGTAGCCAGCAGAGGTGCCGGCCTTGTCGCTGGCGGTGGTCGCAGGGCAGCCGGCAATGCAGTGCTTGCAGTTCTGGCCGCCGTTGCCCCAGGCCTCCTCGGCGCCAGTGCAGGCGCCTTTGCAGCGGCCGGAAACGAAGGAGTTGAACTGGCAGTCGAAGCAGGTATCGGCTCTCTTGACCAGAGCGTCGCCCTCGGCAGAAGGAGCGGCGATGACGCCGGCCGCGAGGAAGGTGATGGCGGTGAAGATGGCGGAGGCCTTCATGTTGACTGTCGGTGCTGGAAAGTTGAGGGAGAGGGTTGATTGCTGGAAGCAGTGCTTGTTAGTGATTGTGTCGAAGAAGCAGGCACTTCCATGCCAAGAACTGCCTCGGGAGGACTTACAATATGGTAGAGTTTGTTTTCGGGCTGAAAGTCCAAACGTTTAGATGGCACAAAAGCTTGAGTTGCTAGAGTTGCGGAAGAGCCGGATCAACTAGACTTATATAGTCGACTCCTGGCCAACAGTTCATAATGCTTCACTTAAGGCTGTAAACGCGTATTGGTCTCCTTCGAAAAATTCGGGCGGGCTGATCGTGCGACACGGCGAGTCAGATCTAGCGCGTGTCGAAGTTGATGGTTCCCCAGTCTGTGAACTCTATTTTCGAAACTTGCCTATTGAGATCTGCAAAGCTGCCAATTATGGCATTAAGTGTGGGTAACGCTCGTACTATAATCACCAAGTATATTAAGTCATTAAGTCATGCGATCCAAGCTGCTGGGTTCTGTCCTCGGAATCTGTGGGCTTTGTTCTTCGATTGACTGCGCCTGGCTGGCTCTTGATGTCAGCGGTTGCCCGGGTCTTGAATGCGATGCGGGCCGGGACCGGATCTACGGCACTTTTGAAATTTCCGAATCCGGGTGCGAATGGCTGTGGATTAATGATCCTATTACTTTCATTCAGTTCGCAGTCGATCCATCACAGTTGTCAGCGCTGCGTATGCGTTATCGCAGCCATGGCTGACCCGAATCACCGTTAAGTCCGGCTTCAGAGGAATAAATGTTTGTGCATATTATGTTGCTATAAATCGCGGTACAACTCCTCATTGCCCTACTCACTGAAGTCTTCTTGGGAATTGACACTTAGACTCGCAACGCTTGCGGCGCGGGTGGTGGACCCGACTTGTGGCTCACTTTTCAATATTACTATTCACGATCACTAACTCAACCCGAATTGAAAACACGAGATGTGTAGTCCTGCCCTGGACATAAGATAGCGGCTTCCCATGAATGCTGTGTGACTATGAAGTGCCTCTCTCTTCCCTTTGGAAGAAAGGGATGAGGCTTTTCTCCTATCTCCACATCAACTTTTTGGTGAGATCTAAGCAATAGGGTTGAAATGTCGGAAGCGATTGAGGGGATCGTATTTCGCCTTCAGCAGACGAAGCTTCTCCAGCCTCCAGCCTTCATGGCCATATAACTCCTCAATCGGCTCTAGCCCATTAGCGTAGTTGAGATACACATTGGTAGGCCGCTCGGACTGGCCGTTCACCCAGTGCTCTTTGATTTCGTCCACCCACTTTTGTCCCGCTTCTTGCGCAGCAGGATTACCAGGAGGGACGAAGACCATAGGGAGCATCAGGTGATGGTCGTCGCGGAAGGGATAAGCGGAATCGTCGGGGTTTTTGGTCTGCACAGCTGCGGTGGAATACCCTTCGTGAACTATAGTGGTCCTCGCAGCAAGTTCTGAACCAGCGGCAAGCCGCTCTTTGAAGCCGTTAAATATGAGGCGCTCAGAGGTCAGATTATAAACTTGCAACCCTACTGCAGCGATGGCTCTTGTAGTGCCCTTTTGGCAGAAGAAGGATTCCTCATTCATTTGTTGCGCCGCAGAAATGGAAGGGTAGGGACCGTCGTCTGACTCGTCATAAGCAGACTCGATCGCGTTGAATGGCGCTAGGTGTTGTTCCGCTTCTTCCGCAGACCCACGGTAGGCGAAAGTCCAGAAGATGACGGGCTCTTCGATCGTTATCGTTCTATTGACCAGAAAGATTCCAAAGTTGGCCGTCATGTTGACAGGGGTAGACCCATTGTTGTGGAAGAGGTTCAGGGCCTCGAAAACCTCCTCGAGTTTGTCATCCCGCCAGACGTAGTTGTGGTAGTGCCACGTGTCGGGGCCTCGAGGGAATATGTTCAGCTCAAAGCTGGTAACGATGCCGAAGCCGTGTCCTGCGCCCTTCAATGCCCAGAATAGATCGCTATGGCTTGTTTCGCTGACCTTCACGGACTCACCACTAGCCAGGACAACATTGAGTTGGATGAAGTTGTCGATTATCAAGCCGTAGAGGCCCTCATGCCGTCCATGGCCCCCTCCGAGACCGGGGCCCATCATACCAACGCAGTCGCAGGCTCCTGTAGTGGCAACATACCCGCGATCCCACAAGTACCTGGTGACGTTACCACCGTAAACACCGCCTCCAAACCAGGCGGATGCGCCGTCTGGCTGGATATCAATACTGTGCAAGTTCTCCAGACTGATTTGAATGCCCTCGAAGGTGTTGAGCGATTGACTCCAGCCGTGACCGCGGTTCACAGCCAAGAAGTCGATGCTGTTCTCATTGCAATACTTGACCTAGTAAATCTTTTAGTACTAGCCTCTGGATAGTGGGAGTCGATGCCCGAAGGTGTATAACATACGATGATGGATACATCAGACTCTTCTCCAGGCGCGATAACAACTTGAATTTGTGGCGCTGCAATCGGGTTCCACCTGGCAGTCGCGTTGACATACGAAGCATCGTCGGGTCCAAAGATGGTGGAGGTTTTGGACACGCGGCATCCCAGTTCTCGTCGAACCTGCTCGACATCCAACTGGCTCCGCGTGACAGGCGCTTTAGTGAAGTAATTGGGTATGCTATAGGCGAGAGCGAAATTTTGGAGTAACCCGAGGGCCAACAGGAAGCACAACAGTTCGTTCATGTTGAAAAGTCTGACAGGTTTGACTCGGGGCATTGGGGTAGTGTGGGAAACACCTCAATTGTTTTTCGCGGATGTTTGTCGAATGAGAACAAATCGGGACTGCCTTGGTTATAAGTCGTACAGAAAATGCCCAAGGCTACACTGAGTCTAGCACGCTAGGGAATACGGCCTTGGCCACTCACCGAGTCTGAGACAAGAACGTCCAGTTTCCTATTTCAGCAAGTCGGCCAAGAGATTCCAAGAGTTTTCTTGTGAGACGGCAGCAGGCAAATGGTCTTTCCTTTCTTTTTTTCCCGTAACCTTCTGCCCAATGAAGTTTCTATCTTGATGCCTATACTTATAATTTCGGTCCGTAATTGGTGGATTTTGACAGTCTTGAGAAGCAGGCTCTGTGGTTTCACCGAACTTTTAATGTGTATTAACGCATGCATGTTGCATTATTGAACGCCGCGCGTCCGCAAGAGTCCACACAGAGAGCTTGGCGTAAGCACACACACCACCTCGAACTCAAATGTTGCAGTTCATTGGGCAAGACAACCTAATGATATGCCCCAACATCAAAGTGGTTTTCTGGAACAGAAGTATTCTCAGAATCAATGTATTTGCAGCCAATAATCGTTGGAGCAGGTTGGTTTGGAGGAGTTGCATCAGTGCCTTGCATCAGCTCACGTGGTATGGTTAAAGGGCAGTGCGCGGTCTACTTGTCAGACTTCAGACTGGAGCCCATGCCGAATCGTCCAGGGTACCGCTACGGCCTACAGCCTGCAAGTCGCAAGTCGACAAGTGCGACGAGGAGTAACCCACAGCGACGAGAGGAAAGATCACAGGTTAACGACGATGAACCACGAAGGGCTCTTGCTACCGAGTTTCTTGTGATATTTCAATTTTGTCCCCAATCTGTAATTGTAATTGCTAAGCAGAAATTTGGCCTTACGTCGTGACAAAATTTCTTTGAATATCGAACAGTTTTACAGATATATGACCTTGACGTTGAGATCCCTTGCCAATTTGCCCAACATTTGATCCAAATGCTTTCGGTTGATTTTCACCCGGAACCAGTCTTTTCCGTTGTTATCCAATTCCATTTCAGTGTACGCGCGAACGTCAACTATGCGCAGGCTCCGGTATTGAGACTGACAGTTAGTATTAAGGACCACGCTTAGATTCTCGAGAGAAAGCAAAACTTTCGTAACTGAAGATTCCCATGATAGCCGGTCAAAGTACATCGGAACAAACTCCAAAGTCTGCAGTGTCCGTCCTACATTTCCAACATCTTGCTGAGATTGTAAGAATTTTGTATCCCCAAGAATGTCGATAGGAAGCAACCATCTAAGATTATTGGTTTTGATATGCTTGAGAACCTTCATGCTAGAAATCGCTCGGGCCATATTCGAATGGTTTGTTTCGTATCCTACCCACACAAGGGTCTCCAGCGTGCTCCCAAGACCCAGGAAAGCGTTCTCAGGCATCCTGTGGAAGCTGCGATAGTTTGAAAGTAGCTTGAGAGACGGAAGCCTCGATAAAATATGCTCTCCGTCCCCTGAAAGAAATTTACAGTCGTTGAAATATGCCTCTCGAATATTACTTAGGATGGGAAACCCGTGAGTTTCGAAGAAACCATTCATCGACAGCCGTTCTAGACTGGGTAGCCTTGGAAGCAGTCTGTACAAATTGTCTTCATACACTCCTATATAGTCGCGAATTTCTAGAGACCTCAAATTGACCAGGTTGTTGAGCAGATCTGGCTTGAAGTATGGGCGAATGGATGTTTGCGCATACCAAAAGGTCTGGATGGAAAGATGTTGAATATATGTTTGCACAACAGGATGTGAGGTGATTCTTTCGAAGAATCTTGCGATGATTTCATCATCGCCGTGAATGACTGGTGTGCGATAAATCACTGTGCCGCATGCGGCAAAGAGGTGTGAGCTTGTTGCGGTGAGGTTGAGGATATCTTGATTTCGTCGCTTGAATTCCTTGTAGGCTGGCGGCTGTGATCCATATTCGATAGGCTTGTAAGACAGTTGATCCCGACTCCAGTATTTTTCTACGACAGATTCTGCTGAAATGTACTTCAGCGGCGGGCCGATGTGTGGGAAGTTGGCGTCATCTTGTAGGTGCTTGGCGATCTCGACCAGAAGTTCCGTAGGAAGCTTTTCGAGACTGCTCAGATCCGAGTTCCGCTGTGCTGCCTCGGCTGCAGCTTGTCTCGGCATTTTGTCGATGTGTGAAGTGTTCTGTGGTGGGCAAGTGCGCATGGAAGGACGGATGGAATTGTTGATTCAAACAAAAAAAGCTTTTAAACCGAGCGTAAGGCTTTTCCCTTTCAACAGGGTACCTGTCCGGAGGTATGACTCTCGCTATCACGTTTGGGCGCATACGCCACGCTGGCAGAGATAAACTTTTCCCGTCTGTACCTTGATGATATCGAGACCGAGTTCCAGGGTGGTGTTTTGGGCGTATGCACCCAATCAAAACGGCCAGTTGGCATCCTCATTGCGCGCTTTGTAGGCTTGACGCATGGTGAAAAGAAAGTAAAAACGAAGAAAGAAAACGAAAAAGCGTAATTGTCGTTGTGAATTCCCGCGTTTGCTGCTGGTTGAGCACCTGAGCCTCGAAAGAATCTATTTGCATACCTAGACAGAAGTATCTCTTATTACATGCTCAGAATGGACTGATTTCACTATATTCAACCGCCTACATGGTCATCAGCGAATAGCAACTCCACACCTAACCTCCGCAGCCGTTTTTGATAGTCAGTCAAAACCTCTCCTATATCCGTCAAGGGTGGCTTTCCTTTCGATATCAGATCTACTGCACGAAGGTCCACGATCCGAATTCTGTTAGATTCCGCCTGGCACCGCGCTTCAATCCAGCCCAAGACTGATGCCAATTCGGGGGACGAAGCCCCTCGCCTGCCCCCACCGTGCCACGAGGGCATCTTAAATACCGTGTGAAGCTCGAAAGTCTCCAAGCTTGGCATAAAGTCATCTCTTTCTGGGCCATCCCTCGTACGCAAGACGTAGCTTACGAAATGGTACCAGCAGAGACTGAGACGCTTGACCCTCGTCAGGCGAGACACAGGAATCTCGCCTTCGAGGAAGCTGTCCAGACACGTGCGGTCGTGCTTGTGCGACCAGCCGAGGAACTCCAGCTGAGGTGCGATGGGATCTAAATGTTGCGACTTGCAATCTTTAACACACCAGGAGGAGTGGAGTGAGTTGTAGGCGGCCAGCGATCGAAGAGCTGGCAGCTTTTTCAAGATCGATTCTGCCTGCGGTCGTTTGTCCCGCCAACTTGAATTCCAGGGCGCGCAGTTGTAAAAGTGCGCCTCGGTGATTCGAGGCAAGAGTGGTAGATGCAGTTCGAGGCCCCTGAAGTGTTTGAACGAAATGCGTTCCAGGGCGGGGAGTTTGGGTAGAAGTCTGCACCACTCCACGACGTGCTTTGGCTCCTTCACCCATGGCTCCAGGGCAACGTCCAGGCTTCTCAACATTTTCAGCTGCAGAGTGTCTCCGTTGATGCGGTTCTTCAATCGAAGCAGCGGGAACCAGTTCCATGTTTCGCAACTTGACTGTTCGAACATATCGTACACGACAGTCATTTCGCAAACGAAATCTTGTAGACGGTTCCGTTTGGCAATGTTGGCAAGCAGGCTTCGTACATTCCTATGACCCACAGCAACTGGTGCGCGGTAGCGGCTCACATATAGAGCGAAAAATATGCGTCGGCTCGTGAGTGAAAAGTTGATGACATCTCTGCATGGCTTCGGACGTCCTCCTTTGCGCAAATGGCCCAATGTTTTGCGGTCGGCATGTCGTCTATGGTAACCCTTTATCTCGTCATCGTGGTGACGATACGAAGCAGGGAAGTGTGGTGCCCAGGGGTAATACTGGCATATCGTGCCATCAGTTGATGTATAAGTGCGCTCCGGATCGCTCGCCGGGAAGATTTCGGGTTGGAGATACTCGGCGATGTTGATCAGTATTTCGCCGGGCAGGTTGTTCAGGTTCGGCGTTGCGACCACATCGGTGTCGTGCGACGAGGGCCCCTTCCCGCACCAAGTCGGGAGCACAATAAATCGGCGCCAAGGCATCGCGCCTTATTTGCGTACCAGGAAGGCGTCCAGCGACTGATGGATATTCAAGGAAGAGCGAAGGTGAGCATCTTGCTATTAATATCAGTAACGAACTTGAAACCCTTATCGATTCTGGGTAAGCTAAAAAGAACAAAGACCAGCGACAAGAATTGAATACAAGAACAACTTCACGATTCAGGATGTGAGGAAATGTTTATGTAGTACGTGCACTGTGGCCGTCCAGGTAGCAATCCGATGCTCAAAGTTTTCCATAATGATGCTATCGCGCCTTTATTGATTGCTCCTGCAGCCAGGAAAACTAATTCGGCAGTTTGAACGACATGGCAAATCGCTACCAGAGAATTTTGAGCGCTTTACGATTTTGAAGCTGCAATAATACCCGCCACAACGGCAAAAGCCTCCAGTGTTTGCCTGTGCATATCCAGTCTCTTCCAATCGGCAGCCCATCCGCGGACTTCCTCAAGGCTAGCGCCACCGCCGGGACCATCATTTTTCTTAGGGTTGACGATTCGTTCGTGTTCGGCGAGGAGCTTGTCGTTGACGGGAAACACCCTGAACTGGGTGTATGGCGCCACGGACGCCATGAGGACGGCCGCGGCGAGGTTGTAGATAAGTGCAGGGCTTTCGGCGCCGTCTGGAGAAGATAAAAATAGCACGAAACTGTTAGCCAAATGGAAAATAATAGTAATACGCTTTTTGGTATATGTGTGTGTGCTGCATTTAGGTTCGTGCCGGCAGCACGGCGAAGAGACAGGGGAGGGGCCGAACCCACCTTTCCAAGCAAGGAAACCGAAAACTGCCGCCGTGCCGGTCACCATTGTGGGGCCGTACTTCCGGCCGAAGTCCCACCCTCGGAACCATAGCTCGGTGATTAGGTCCTTATCTCGGAGCTGCACGATGCTGTGCATGGCGAGTTTGTCGCTGCCATATTGATATCCTGGTATTGTTAATAAAGTCTCGGGCCTTCTTCTCGGGCGTGGAAAGAGCGGAGGCCGTTGTCCAACATACCTACGAGATGTGCCGCTCCAGTAAGGTTGACCAGTTGAAGCACACGGGTCCAATTGATACCATCGGCCATGCCGAACGAAGGTTCCGTCTGAAACTGTGGGTCAGATAAGGGTCGTAGAAGTCAGGGTGTGGTTAATGCGCTTGAAAATAGGCAGGCGAGGTGCGCGATAGTCGTGATCAAACTGCAAGATCAGCTTCATCAACAATCCAGCGATTGTCGTTCATTTTGACTATTAGATCCATCCCACATATCCCGCGGCCAAACCGTTGACAGCCCCTCATCTTGGTCATCAATTTCGTCACCAGTGCGTTCTGATCCCCAGATATGCAACCTGTGCCGCCATCCCGCCATCCCACCGGCACACCAAGCCCACAGCCCCTAGTAGACGCGGGAGCCGAAATAGCGCGACGGCGAAATCTCTTTTAGCCCCGTCTCTCGGCTAAACAGCAAGGCTTGTCTCAAGCCAGACAAGGCTGTAATAATAAGGCCAGATTGAAGGGAACGCCTGCTGTCACGTGGGGCTCTGTCCAAGCCCAGCCCAGCCCCGCGTTTCGGCAGTCGGGCCGCAAAACAAAGGGTCACGATCAGAGCGCGCAGCAAGTTCGAGCGTATTTCACCCGTCTATTCGGTGCTAGCTGGGGCCATAATGGACGCCCGTTCCTTTTAACGGCTCTAATACAAATGGTTTGATATTCTCGATGAACTCTCTGTCGCTCTCCGTGTGCTTCATGCACCAGCACCAGATGGCCATTCCCAAGCACCGGTCCCAGGAGAGGAGCGGTATCAGCGGCTTGTTGTCCATCATCATGACCGCCTTATCGCACATTCTGCTGATTATCAAAAGCTCCTCGTCGCCCTGGTCGTCCATGAGCTCGGGGTCCGTCGGTATCATGCCGAACCACTGCGCTGCTGGGCCGTCCCACATCATTAGCGGCATGGGCACTTTGACTCTGAGCATGGCTGGCTCTGCGTTTCTGGATATTCGGAGCGCGGGGTATATCGTAATAAAGACTGCTTGAAGGATCAAATGTAGTTTGAACTGAAAAACGGCAAGACTGTTTCGCAGCAGAGTTAGCAAAAGATCTTATAGTTTGTGTGCTTTGGACCAGAAGTAAATGACGACGCCCACTTTCGGTACAAATTTCCCTCTTCTTTCAGAGCGACATGTCCCAACATCAGATGAACCTCGTCAGAGGAACCACTCTCTTCTGCTTGTGATGCTTTCAACGAGAAGGGGGCTCTCAACGTACCGCTGACATGATTCCCGGAAAACCCAAGGATATCCACTATTCCCGCAAAGTTGCGAAGCTGCGTTAATTTTCGACTGGTCGTATAGGCCCGTCGCCTTGAACGTCTCCAGGAGCATTGCGTGCGTCATCATCACGTTCTCCATCGTCTTGTCGGCCCGGTACGGCACCAAGATTGTTGAAATCAGCATGGCTTGGAAGATTGGTAGCAAATCTACTCGCGGGGACAGCATGCCCCTTCTTGATTGTTCTAATAGTTCGAGCTGTAGAGACTTGGTGTTAGCGTACTGCGGTACGGTACTGACTCGGGTCGCATTTAAAGTGGAAACCAATTTGCCCGTACGTTTGTAAAGGCCAACACGCAAAAAGAGAAGTTATCGACACTTACGATTCTGTTGCCTACCTCTATTAGGAGGTGGTCGTGGAACCTGATGGCGAGATCTCGTGACCCCGGTGCCGAGGCAAACCATAGTCCAACGGTGATGACGGCCTGCATCAGCAGCTTAGGCTGCATCGTGGACTCGAACGTCTCCCTGTGCAGCATCGGCCACTGTGGGTGGAAGTGGTCAAAGTAGACTCTCTGCAACTGCATCCTCATCCCCTCATCCAACATCGATCCAGGTGCAAAGTCGAAGGTATCGGTCATCTTCATCGGTGCCGGTGGCATGATAGTCTGCGTAAGCAAGCCGGTGGGCGACATCCCCGTTGTCAAGGGGTCCGGCATGATGACGGGATTCGAAGGCGCCATGCAGGCAGCCAGCATGCTAGAGCCGGTAGAAGGGGACGATCCCACCGCTCGTCCTGGCGATGGTTGCTTGCCGCGCGGCTGCGGCCACTCGCACGATCTCCCCTTATCGTTGCACGTCGAGCAGGAGGGTTGCTGACCATCGCATCTTGTCTTTGTGCGATGGCACGGGACGCAGGCTTGTGCTACGCGTGTTGGCGGGGCAGTCGGGCCGTGGAGAACCATATGCCTACGAAGAGTATCTCTATTATGGTGTTTTCCGCGTGTTAGTCTAGATGTTGTTCGGGTTCGGGTCCGTTTCCGACCAACGCGAGATGGCCTCGGGTGCCGAGCTGGTGCACCACTTTGACACTTTCTCTACAACCACAACCACAACAACAACGACAACCAGCAACAACTAGAAGACAATGGTAACTGCAATGACATACCCTCTTGTAAATTTTGTACCACATGATGGGCAGCAAAAAGATGGTGTAGCCGCGTGCTCCTTTTTGTGACGCGTGAGGTGCTCTTTGCGTAGATAGGAGCGGCCGCAGCCGTCATGGTCGCAGGTGAACGGCATTCTGGGCAGCTCCAGCGTACGGAAGGAACAGATCCATCGCACTGGAGAGTTGGTTCCCTATACAGTTGACTAAAGGATGAGTAAAAAAAGGGCCTGGCGGTAGAGAAGGGGCTCGGTGCATAGAATAGCACCGGTGCACTGGTGCGCTGTGCTGTGTGTTGAGATGTTCGGACAGGACCTTCGCTTGACTCCGAGACCCCCTGGGAAACTGTGGGGCCGGGGCTAAACCTCCCGCGGCAGCTGTACGCGCCAAAGCTCGCTAATGATTGGTCTCCCACTCTCCCGGTGCTTATTAACACGCGCTGACTCAGCGAGTGGGATACCGGTTTTGTGGGGTCCTGAGGCGCCGGGGCGGGGGCTCCGGACGCCGAGTCTGCTGTCAATCCGCCGGCGAGCCGGTAGGAGAGCCGTTGAGCACCACGGAGCTTATGAATAGCAGTTTGAAGAGCCCCGGGCACGCCGCCGGTGATATAAGAGTCCACCGGAGGACCGGAGGGTTAGATGTCGCGATATGCAGTCGAGAGAGAGACAGCTCGAACGCCTTCACTGTAGATAGAGGGAGGGCACATACGACGAGACAGACATCCCGCTGAAGATTTCGCTTTCTGAGACACCAGTTACTCCTCAACTCGCACACACGGCAGAATAATAATGGCTGCCCTTAAGAAGATAGCCGTCATCGGTGTAAGTACATAGTCCCGTCCACCCTCCCCTCCCCTCACCGTGCTCCCCCTTGCCTTCCCCTCCGGGCTCCAGCATTGACCAGTGGCCCGCACGTGGCAACTAAAATAGGGAACGGGCGACCTCGGCCATGTCATCGTCCAGCAGTTGGTTGCCGCCGGCATCTTCGACGTTGCCGTCGTTACCCGAGACTCCCGAGACTCCCGAGGCAAGATCCCTACGGGCGCCAAGGCCGCTGAAGCCGACTACGAGTCCCTAGAGAGCCTGACCGCAGCCTTTCGAGGCTTCGACGCCGTCGTCTGTACTCTGCCAGGCCATCTGGAAGCCTTACTTCTGCGCATTCTCGACGCCGCCATCGCTGCGGGCGTAAGGCGCTTCATTCCCTCAGAGTTTGGCTCAGATCACCGGCAGCCGGCCGCCCACTCCGTCCCTCTCTCCGCGAGCAAGATCAAGGTGGACAACACACTTCAGAAGGCCGCCTCGGAGGACCGCATCGAGTACACGTCCATCTTGGGAGGACCATGGATCGAATGGATCATGACTTTTGAGGAGGGCATGAGCATCCCCGAGCGCAAGTTCTTCATCCACGACGGCGGCGACATCCCCTTCGGCCTCACCACCCGAAAGGCATTCGGCGACGCGGTTGCGGGCGCGCTCAGACACCCCGAAGAGACCAAGAATCAGCTCTACACGATCGAGATCATCAGCCTGACTCAAAACCGCATCCTGCAGCTCGTCAAGGAGGCCCTGCCCGACCTCGAACTTGAGATTGTCCATGTCAACACCAAGGAGCGTTACGAGCGAGGCGTCAAGAAGCTTGTTTCGGGCGTCTTTGACATGTCTGTTGTGGGGGACATAGTTTTGAGATTCGTCTTCGACTCGGAGCTACAGCTTACGTCCGACACCAAAGCCGCCAATGAGTTGCTCGGTGTCGAGAGCATCACCGAGAAACAGTTCAAGGAGCTCGTCAGATCCTTGGCCAACTGAAACTGGGGCCGCCAATGGAAAGCAACGTTATGTGCGTGCCTTACGTCGTTAAGCACAGCAGATGTCGGTCAAAACTAGCAAAGAAACGTGTAATAGCGACTAGTATTCATAGAAACCAATTGAGAACGGCTGAAACTCAAAGAGGTCTGTAAAGATCCGACGGGAGGTTCCATGAGCCTGGAAAATTTTGTAAACCCGCGGCACTATTGCCTCAAAGCGGACATAAGTCGTTACGCCAAAAAGCGCCAAGCCAGCGCTACAGCTCTGCCTAAAGGCCTCTAGACCGTTAGTCTGATGCTCTAAAGACCCTCCTAGAGACGGACAATTAGAGTTGCCCACGGCCGCCGGCTATCCACTGGCCCTCCCCTGGTCCGGGATGTGGGCGGCGTCTCCCGAATTGCCGGAATAGGACATGGCACGGTGCCTACGATGAAGCTTAAATGAGTAATGAACTCGTTGGCGCCCATCGAAAGAACGGACGGACGGAACCAACAACAGGACCAGACGAGAACGAGATGCAGCAAGAGCTTTGACAACAGCCCTGCGCAAATCGCCAATGACGATGGCAAGATCAAAGATGAGAAACCCAACGGTCGCGACCAGTCACTCTTTGGGAGCTGATGGCGATTCCCACAGACGGATACGGCCCGACAAGAAAACGAGATGATGATCGATGACGGCACGAGCCCAACGATGCAAGGTCCGAACAGCCTACGGCTCCTAAGCCGGGTATCAATAACGCCATCGGGTTCATGTCCCGAGTTGGCACCAACCCTCATCCAAACTTGGGCCGAAGTTCGAACAAACTCAAGCACGGCAGCAACACTCAACTAGTCAGAAACGCTTTCTTGGATTTCTCTGTTTTGCCGCTCCACGGAGCCGACAACGGGCCCGTTCAGAACCAGTCCTACAGGGCCGCTGGCGAGCCTACGTGGCATGGAAGTTTAAAATAGGAATATCTAGTCGAGGGCAGGCAGCGCAGGTTGGCAAATACCCCGCCACACAAGTCCCTCTCGTGAAACCGTGCGCCCACGGACGCTCAACGGTCTCGTCGGCAACCGCGCCGTCTCATTGGTCAGTAACCAGGTTTTTACATGTCTGTTGTAATGTACAAGTTGGGGTGAAAGAGGGTAAAAAAAGAGGTCTTTGCCCTGGAACATTTTTATATACATTCTATAAGGTAAGCAATACTGTTGGTGATTCGGGGCTTGTTCCGAACCTGCGCTTGCGCTTCCACCTTCCGGGTATCGATAGTCCGGGTCTAGTAGCTGTAGCGGAACTGCTTGTTCTCCTTATCAGTCATCGAGGCCCAGACCTCGGGGGCCATGAAGGCGTCCTCGGACTGCTGCTTGGCCCCGCGTCTCTTGTTCTCCCAGCGGTAGTAGGCGTACAGGGCCAGCGTGACGACGGCGCAGCCGGCCTGGGTGCCCATGACGGCGATCTTGGCCGGGCGGTAGTCGGGGGCGTCGCGGGCCTGGAAGGTCTGCGGGCCGATAATGTTGCCGAGGGAGAAGGATCCGCTGACGATGGCGGCGGCGAAGGCGCGCTTGGTTGCGCCACCAAAGTTGGCGGCGGTCCACTGAAGAATTTTTCCCGTTAGACACACTTCTTCTTTTTTTCATCTGCTGTGTCTCACTCCAAAACTTCGCGTGTGGAGAGGACGAAGGACAGGCTAGGCTACTTACGGCGTAGAACACGGTCAACGGGGCGACGACGGCGTTGACGAGGTAGATGCCCGCGAGGCAGCCGGCGCGGTTGCTCACGGGGAGGAAAGACATCAGAGCGCCACCGATGATGCTGGAGCGTCAAGATTAGCAAGGTTTTTCTTATTTCTACCGTTCCGTTCCCCCATCTCGAACGATTTTATTTGTGACTTACGCTGGGATGATGCAGGCGACGATCCAGGCCCAGCGGTTCGACTGGTAGCGAATACCGTATCCGACGAGGAGCGTGAAGAAGATGCTCACAACACCGGAGGGCATGTTCATCAGGGCGGCGTGCTTGGAGTCGTAGCCCAGGTTACGGATAAGAGTGGCAGAGTAGGTGGTCACGACACCGCTGGAGACGGAAAGCTGCGGGTTTGTTAGCGAGGCTAGAAAGCTGTTAGGGGGTTCGCGGTACGCACGAGGACAACGGCAATGGTCATCAGGTACATCTGAGGGTCCATCAGAGCCTCGAGGATCTGCTTGGGACGGAACTTGCGGCTCTCGATGCCGGTCTGGTTGACACTGACGTGCTTCAGCAGGGCGACCTTCTCGGTGTCGCTCAGCCAGCGGGCCTTCATCGGGGTGTCCGGGACGAAGAAGAAGGTGGTCAGGCCGATGGTGACGGTGACGCAGCCGAGGACGACGAACATGATGCGCCAGCCCGCGAGGCCGGCGCCGGGGGCGACGTGCTGGAAGCCGTAGGAGATGGCGCCGCCGAGGATCTGGCCGAGGCCGAGGCCCAGGTACCAGAAGGAGAAGCGCGGGGCCTGCTCGGACTTCGTGTACCATTGGGAGCTGATAAGCATAAGGGACGGGCCGATGGTCGCCTCGAAGATTCCCAGGAAGACACGCGAGACGAGTAGGGAGGTGTAGTTGTGCGCGGCGGCACCGCAGGCGGTCGCGGTGCCCCAGAGGATCACGTTGATGCCCAGCCATTTGGCGGCGGGAACCATCTGGAGGAAGTAGACTGCGGGGTGTGGGTGTCAGTGCATCCCTCTTTGCTTTTCCGAAGCCTCTCGTCCACGAGACCAGCGCTTCGCTTTTCTTCTTCCTCAAGCGAGGCCGGGGAGGGCCCAATGGGAAACATACTGTTTGGAATCTCGAAGCACAACAAACCCACGAAGAGGAACGTGGCAATGTTGGAGAAGTCGTTTCCAACCAGCTTGAGGTCCTTGTTAAGACCCATCACGGCCGCGTACTGTTGTCACTCATCAGATTACTGTTTTACTCTCAGGAGATACGGCTGGACCGCAGAAGCAAGCGCCCGGGCAGTCCAAGCTGAAGAAGGGGGCGAGACGCACGTTGAGGATGACCTTGTCCAGGAACTGCATCGTGTAGCATCCGAACATGAGGGGCACGATGTGCCAGTCAATCTTGCGGCGGAGCGCATTGATGTCGACCGAGCTAGTGTCGCCGCCGGCCTCGCGGTGGTCGTTGAGGAACTTCCAGGCCCCGTCGACGGAGCCGGAGGACGACGCATCATGGTCGGACGCAGCCGAGCTCACGAGGTCCTTGGGGTTCTTCTCGTCCATGGACATGGCGTGTGTCTGGAACTAGGGTGTTTTCGAGAAAGAGGTTAAAAGAATAAAGTGAATTAAAGAAGAAAGCAATATGCAAGCGCAAAGTGGACGAGTGTGACGTGACGCCCTGGAATTACAAGCCCGGTACGACCCAAAAGCACGATGTCTGTGATCGACGAGGAGGGCGCACAGGCTTCCGCTGCGGAGCTGCTGAACACTTAGAGTTTTGCTGATCAGCGAAAATAAAAGAGGTGTCAGATGGAAAAGAAAGAAAAGCGACGGCGAGGAAAATAAAACGCTGTCGGCCGAGAAGGGATGGGATGGGATGGTAGTACACTCCGTTGCGTTGACAGCGTCCGCCCCCCCTTTTTGCCGAAATTACGCACGCATAATCCCTGTATATACATGAAAATTTGCCCAACGCCACGTAGATATTCGTAGTACGGCAATTGACCTATTCTGATGGCTTCAATTGATCTATTTCTATTGAATCTCATTATCTGAGGGCATCGTGATGCCTCCTAAACGCCGCCGCGCGGCTCGGCAGGCGGATGATGACCCTTCTGGGCATCGTCCGTCACCCATCGCCAACGGTACGCGGAAACAACGACGTATACAACAACTGGCACAGGACGCCGCCAGAGATCCTCCTCAACGCTCTGCCTCGCCGTCGATCAGGATCGTTACGCCCGCCGAGAGGGCTCGCCGGGCTGCCGCCGCCGAAGAGGCCGCCGAGGAGGCCGCCGAGGAGGTTATCGTCGCCGAGGCTGGACCCGAGACTAATGATTTGGTGGCGGCTGAGTCTACATCGCGAAGAAAGCGTGTACTTATAGCCCCTCCGTCATCACGAAGAGCTCCAAAAGCGTCCTCTCGCCAAAAAGCAACGACAACGCAGAGGAAGCGAAAGAAGGATCCGCCGCATACGATCCGGCTCCGAAGTACTCTGCCTTCGTCGATGCCACCGTTTCGACCAGACTCGACCCCAGTTAACCCAACCCCTCGTCAAACCACTCGATTTGCGGACGATACGCCTACGGCCCCTCGCCATAGCGCTGATGATACGTTTATGTCGTTCCACGATGTATTTGAAGAGGAGGACGATATGGGTAACGAGGAACCAACTCTGCTACAAATCCAGGTTACCCGTGGCCCAGCGCTCAAGGGTAACGGTTTACCTGTTCTCGATCTAACCATCGAGAGCATCGCGTATAACAGATTCAGTATTGCTCCTGTATTAGATGCGAATAGTAGAGACTGGGAGGCAGACAGCGGCGCCCAACTTGAGGCAGAAGTGGCTCACTCGTATATTGTGAAGAAGGCCAATATCGCTGTTGTCGTTGCTTGGAGGAAGCCCACCAACGCATCTAAACCAACACCAATCTTCACTCGGGTCTATCCGTCTACTGGAGGGGTCACTTGGCCAAGTATTCCATGGGTTGATATTGTCCCCTCTCTTGAACAAGCTGAAGAGAGGGGTGAAGTCCACCTCACCGTCAAGTGGCAATACAGCGCCGTACCAATCTCTGGTGGTATAGTGACTGGCGTACGAACGCCTCGAAAAGGTGGCCGAGCAGGCGTTTCAGCCGGCATGCAAGAGGCGATCGATCGTGAGGCTAACGATCCTGCAAACGTCGAGCGTCGGAAGGAGGGTATGCACAGACAACTTCTCCGTACGCACATCTGCCCAGAGTACCAGAGATGTAAGAATAGTTCGGGCGACGAGAAGTTCAACTGGTGCTATATACTAGGCCAGAAGCACTACAAGATCAAATCT